GCAGAGCAAGTTGATTCAGAATTAAAATGGTGGAGATATAACGGAACAGGAAAGAGAAACAGTACAAACTGAGTCGTTATGTGGATCCGTTTTGAAATATAAACACTGAAATTTCACATTAACATTGACGGAGCAGCATCAACTTCTCACCCAACAATTACTGATTTGCTACGAAGGCAAGGATGTAATGAGAGGAAGGCGGAGGGCAAAGCGCAGAAAATTTTAACATGATGGAAAAAGACGTGGTGTCAATAAGCACAGTTAGTTTTGAGGGCTTCCTGAGTTTAATAATGCAAGAAAGATTTTGCCCTTTATAGAAAGGCAAAACCCGGGTTTTTAAGAAAGTGGCCTCATCAATTAATCGCTAGTCGATCAATAATTTCAACCAACTTTAGATTAACTTGCATTCCTAGTTCAGCCATTCTTTAAAAAACATAGAAGGAAATCTGATGATGTTCTGAGATATGAAGCTGGTTTTAAATTGTGTGCTTTTATCGTGAACTCGCAGGTTTTGACACCGACGGTTTGTCTTCGGCTGTGTGGCCTGGAGGAGAAACCGAAGCTCTCACTCGACTGGAGAGGCACCTGGAGAGGAAGGTCAGTCCCATCTTTTGCTTGTTTTTTTAAAATTGCCTCGTGCGTTTTCAGTTGTGCTAATGCGACTGGTTTCGCCATCAGGCGTGGGTGGCGAACTTCGAGCGTCCGAGAATGAACGCCAACTCGCTGCTGGCGAGTCCGACCGGCCTCAGCCCCTACCTGCGCTTTGGCTGCCTCTCCTGCCGCCTCTTCTACTTCAAACTCACCGACCTCTTCAGGAAGGTGAGTGTTTTTACCAACACCATGATACTTTTTGCTCGGATGGTGCAAGTTTAGAAGTTATTTTCATTTCCATTAGATTTATGTTTAGTCCAGTTTGGCATTAAGTTGAATAAATAAAGCCAAATGTTTAAAAGTTAGCAGTCTTAGAAAGTTAAGACTTTGAAACCCTCATCCTGAGCAAGCATGTGGCAACAGTGGGAAGGAAGGACGTATTTTTAGCAGGAATAAATGCTGAAGAAAACCAAAGAAAAAAGTGGTCCAGCCGCCAAAAAAGAAAATAAAAAACAGCTGAGCATGGGATCCATGGAAAAGAAACACCAAACAAAAATAACACCCAGCAAAATCTCCAATAATGAGCTCATCCTTGGAAGAAACAACAAAAATACAGAAGAGAAGAGACAAAGTCAGCTGCAGGAAGAGTAGCGTTAGCTTTAATTAGGAAACATGCTGGGAAAATGCTGCCCATGTAAATCGTCTCTAACTTCTGATCCCAGGTGAAGAGGAACAGCTCCCCTCCTCTGTCGCTGTATGGCCAGCTGCTGTGGCGCGAGTTCTTCTACACGGCGGCCACCAACAACCCCTGCTTCGACAAGATGGACAGCAACCCCATCTGCGTCCAGATCCCCTGGGACCGCAACCCCGAGGCGCTGGCGAAGTGGGCCGAGGGCCGGACGGGCTTCCCGTGGATCGATGCCATCATGACGCAGCTGAGGCAGGAGGGCTGGATCCACCACCTGGCCCGGCACGCCGTGGCCTGCTTCCTGACCCGGGGGGACCTGTGGATCAGCTGGGAGGAGGGCATGAAGGTAGAGGACGCCGACTCTGAGTTGCGGTCCGGTTTCGCAGAACGCATCGAACCGTTTCGGTTTCATCTACAGGTGTTCGAGGAGCTGCTGCTGGATGCGGACTGGAGCGTCAACGCCGGCAGCTGGATGTGGCTCTCCTGCAGCTCTTTCTTCCAGCAGTTCTTCCACTGCTACTGCCCAGTCGGGTTCGGCCGACGCACCGACCCCAACGGAGATTACATACGGTACCGTCACTGAGTCGATTCTGGTGGCCGTGTGTCCTTAGAAGGCCAAAAAATGTCTGCGTTTTTCAACTGTTTTAGGGTAATTTTAATGTGCTGAATCCAAAAATCAAATTGGTTTTGCTCAATCAGGTCAGCTTTCTGAACTATGGATGCAACATGAGCATTGAAATGAATTGATAATATCTCAAAAATTAAATCAATTTAGATCGGATGTCTAATAAAAACCTGACCTGATTGAGAAAAATTGATGTCATTTTTGGATTCAGTGGTGTAAAATAGTCCTAATTCAGTTGAAAAAACAACTTCCCAAAAATATCTTTTGTAACCCAGTGTAACCACAGGTCTAAAACTTTGTCCTTTCATATTCTATGTGGTTTTTGTCTTAACTGTGTTCTAGCCTTGCTAGCTAGCTAGCTTGATAATTATTTTTGCATCTAAGTTAAAATGTACCGCCAGTTGACTTGACGATTGTCGTCTTCTGCAGCCAAACATATGAGGCTAGATGCAAAAACCTTTGCACTACCAGAGTTAAAGCCGTAGAGAGCATCGCAAAATATACGATTTTCTTAAATTTGAGTTGGTGAAACCTGCAGGAACCCTGTCTTACCTCCTTGGATAGGTGAATAATCCGCCACGTTCCCTTTCTGTTTCCATCCCTCCGCTCAGGCGCTACCTGCCTATTCTGAGAGGATTCCCAGCGAAGTACATCTACGATCCCTGGAACGCTCCGGAGTCTGTGCAGAAGGCTGCCAAGTGCATCATCGGCGTGCATTACCCCAAGCCCATGGTGAACCACGCTGAGGCCAGCTGCATCAACATCGAGCGAATGAAGCAGATCTACCAGCAGCTCTCCTGTTACAGAGGCCTTGGTATGCTGACCCGTTACTTTCTTTCTCTCTTGTTCAGATGTAAGGCATCTTTCCACATTGATTGACTCTTTGTTGTTTACATCCTCAGGCCTTTTGGCTACAGTTCCATCCAACACCAATGGAAACAATGAGACGTCCTCAGATGCTATGGCGTTCTCCATCGAGGCTTCACCCCAGGCTGCTGCTCCAGCAGGTAAGACCAAAACATGTTATTATGTTCAAATAAAACTGCACAGCTGCACCTCCTTGGTTTTACATTTCTCATTAAAAATCAATCAGTTTAAATGTGTTTTGTCTTTCTTTGATTTGTCAGCCTATCAGATGCCAGTTCATTCACAGACAGACTGGCGCAGCGGGGTGATGGTTTACCTGCAGGGGGATCCACAGAACAGCACCAGCACACACAAGCAGGGTAGGGATTATTTAGCACTTCTGAATTATTCATATTTTCATGTCAATCTGTTTGTTTTAATCAACTCTGATGATTGTTTCATCTTCCTGAAGTTCCCAGTTACGCTCCAGCTACCAGCATGATGCGATACACTCAAAGCAGCCCACAGATTCCAGGTCCTGCACTGCAGAAAGGTGCAAAATAAATTCATTTAAATCTGTGATGTGGGGTCGTTTCTGTTAAAACTTTCTAAATGTCACTTTTTTGTTTTTGTTTCAAGGATTCGAGCATCATCCCGTCACACAGACCAGCGGAAAACGTCCCAATGAGGATTCTGGCCACGGCAGAGGCCCTAAAATCCAGAGGCAGAGCAACCACTGAAGAGTTAGTGACACATTTATTTTACACACTCGTACTCACTGGGATGAAATTTGATGTTTTATGACAAAAATCTTATTTTTTTTTTTATTCTTTCAGGTGTTTCTGCACATCGTCCTTCATTTAATCAGCCAGATCAAAGCAGACACTAAAGGACTAAAGGTTTACCTCCAGCACCACGGTGTTGCATGAACGCACCTTCAGGATGATTAAATGCACACACACACACACACGTCCCCCGATTAAACAGACTGTGGACTCTGATGAGGACTGCACATCAGCGCAGCGGCTCACTCGCTGAACTCTTCTCTGGCTTAATATCGACAAACATCCTTGTGTATATAATGAATTTGCTAACTGCAGCTCACACAACTTGTACATATTTGGATATTTTATGTATGTTTTCTCTCCTTGTGTAGCCATAAACCCATTGATATATTTTTGATATGAGATCATGGATGGATCTTTTTTTGTTTTGATAGTTCTCAATAAATAATAATAATAATAAATATTTAAAGACTTTCCAACAAAAAAAAAAAAAGACACTGAGAAAGCTTCTGTGTTTGCTAACCATCGTTTTCCCCAAACTTTGTTCTTTCTTGATCCATCTGTCGTAAACTGACAAAGTGTTTTTGTTGATCTCAGTAATTGGAGACGTGTCTCATTCCTTTCCAGTGTGGAGGCAAAATAACATTAACCATCTTGATGTTGCCCTTTTTTTAGTAGTTTTGGAGAATAAAAAAGGACTCAAGAGTCTTTGCATCACAGTGACTTCCCTGTAAAATCCTTAATAAAGAAGTGTACCACAAACAAGACTCTAGTGTATTTATTTGAATCAAATTGTGGGTTTTAACTTGAACATATGAGGAGTTTATATACTTTACCATTAGATCATTATGTTGCTTCTGCAGCTGGTTATATTTCAACAACAAGGTAGCTCATAAAGCTTTATAGGATAGAAATAAAACATTGCGGTGGCAAATTAAAGGAGTATTAAAACTAAATGCAGCTTCTCCCACAAAATCTATATTTTTAAACAACAAAAACAAAAATATAATGCATCATTTTTGTACCACTTCACCATTTTACCCTACTTTTAGTCAGTCTATTGCATAAATCCCAATAAATACAATAAAATGTGTACTTGTAATGTGATAAAATGTGAAAAAGACTGTTTATTTAGTGTATTTAACATTTTTGAAGGGAATGACACATAGGTCTCCAATATGGCAGCATAAATAAAGTAAGGTCACACAAACATAATCAGCTGACTGGCAAAAGTATAAACAGTCATTTAGGCAACAAAAAGAAGCTCTTATGTCGGGTATTTCCTGATGTTTGTAAGATTTGAATAACTTGCAGATTGGTGCTGCAGATAATTTAATATTTCATCAAAATCTTTCAAATGAGGATACAAAACCTAGGGGCTTGTGTTTTAGAAAAATAAATAAATCAGAAATTAGCCACTGAAAAATTCAAGATGGCTGCCATGGTCGTCAAGTAAATTTATCTGCATTAAATCTGCCAATATTTATCCCAGATGAATACTTTTGGTCTCAAGTGGTACATAATTAGACCCATATAAATCATATTTGCTAATAACTTTAATTTTTCAAGATGGGCACCATGGAAAATTAATATTTCCACACAAAATGAATGTGTTTTATTTATTTTGAACCACAGAAATCATATATGGTTTTTGTCTTGATTCCATTTTCTGGTGGACACTTTTCAAAATGGCCGCCATAGTTATAACAAAGAATACATGTTTGCAATAAAATCAGCAGCAGTTACAGCTAACCAAACAGTTAGCCTCACAAGCCACTAATTTGCTAATCTTAGCTCTGTTAACGCTAAACTGTCAAACACAGAAAATTAGCAGATGCTAATGCTTTATCGCTAAACACACAGACGGTCAGACATCTTTATCTCCTTCCAGTTTGTAACTGGTGCGAGATTTTCAAGCAGTAAAGTCCTCAGTTTCTGATTTTGCTGTTATTACTTTAAAGTTGTATGAATTAGATGAGCGAGTCGAAAGTTGGCTCAAAAATGGTGGCCATTTTGAAAAATGTCTGTTGTCCTGAAATTCAAGAGGCTAATGAGAAATATGAGAACCATACACTGAGGGTTGAGCATATACATTTTTAAGCCTTGTATCCACATTTGAAAGATTTTCAAAGTAATGTGCTGTACTACGTCAACACCTGAGTGGAGCCACAGGGTTAAAGAGCGCCCTCTGCTGCCGGAGGTTCAGCTTGGCGTAGCTCATCTCAAAGTCCTTCTTGGTTCCTACGATTACGTCCAAGCTGCCGGAGCGCACGTCGTACCCATAGGACGCTAGCTTCTGGATGCGATACAGCACTATCTGCGTGGTGAGCTCCAGGACGTTTGGGGATTCCTTCACCTGCTCGACGCTCGCCCCGGCGTCCATCAGCCCCTGGAAGCGGCCCGCCAAGGTGGCCAGCGAGTAGTACAAAACGGCCGGGCAGCGGATCACAACCCGCTTCAGTTCGTCCTCGGAGCAGCTGAGAGCGTCCTGGACGTAGGCCAGCGCCTGCCGCATGGCTTCAGGCTGCAGCTCGGAGATGGAGGCTCTGAGGCTGGACACCAGGCTGAGCAGCTCCTCCGTGGTGAAGCCCCGCTCCCTCAGGAAGCCCAGACTGTCCCTCCAGGTCTCCGCTGGACGCAGGAGGATGTACGGGTTCTGGCTGAGGAGCTTCTGCAGCCAAACCCGGAGATTACCCTCATCCCCGCCCAGGTCCAAGTAGGTCTCTCTGAGGGTGTGGATCACCTCCTGGTTGCTCTCCACAGGTCGACTGAAGCTCTGCGGCGCGCTGGCCATCAGCTTGCTGATGATCTTCTTGTTGAGGCGAAGGCTCTGGAGGTAGAGGATGTTGGCCCGCTGGTTGCTGTGGTGGCTTACGGTGAAAAAGGAAGCTGGGAACTTTTCGATGATGCTCAGAAGGGCGCGTTGGCCAGAACATACGGACTCCCAGAGGTCCCGCTGGGCCTTCACGTCCTCTGGGCGGCACAGGACGGCCTCGGGGTGGGTCTCAAGGATGTGGGCGATCACCGCCGTGTCAGCGCCCATGTCCCTCAGCAGACCGGCTGTCTCAGCCACGTAGGTGGTCTTCTCAGACAAAACCCAACCCTTAAGCTTGCGGACCTTTCTGATGTCCACCGATAGTTTGTACAGAGAGTCAACCGTGCGTTGATTCTCCTCCCGTTTGCTGTGGGAGGTGAGGGAGGCAGAGGGAGGCAGCAGCAGCCTCATCTTCTGGCAGGAGGCGCACAGAGACGTGGTGGTGATGCGAAGCATCGCAGCGGACCTCTGAAGAAGAAGAAGAACATCATTCATTCCCCCAATCTGTAAAGAGTTGTGACAGCTTTAGCATTCAGCTAGTCCCTGAATAACTGCAACTACTTCCACAAGTCTCACAATCACTGAATATTTAGGCCTACATGCAAAAACCACTATCTCCATGGAGAAACAAGGTGGTAGGAGCATCATGCTGTGGGGGTAATTTTTCAGCAGGGACATTGTACATTGCTCTTGTATTTATTCCTTATTTCTACGAGATAACAGCAAGAACTGATGGGAAGATGATTCCCTTAATTAATAAACTAGCAAATTAAAACTACTCATTGGCCTCAAAATGTGTTGAATTTAAAATGCAAAAATTACTAAATTGTAATTTTTCTTTTTTTAAAAAATCTATAAATATGTAAAGATCTAAAACATTTTAAAAAATATTTCAGACTGTTGCTTTTTTTTAAAAAAGAAAAACAAAAAAAATATATACACATTTTTTTGTGGTTTTATTTTATTGTTTGTTTGAATTTCAGTTGTTTTCTGTTTTGTTGGGGATCAAAATTGTCATAATCGATGTGGTTGAGGTAGTGAGGAAACGCAGGTAGACCCAGGTAAAATGAGAATGATGAATTTAAAAATGTAGCTCACAGTCTTGAACAGGCAGCACGGCAGAAAGTTAGCACACAGCTAATACCGGTAGCAACTGGATAACAGACATGTAAACGAGCTTAGGTCGATGCAGGACTTCACAGTTCAACTGCGTACGACCCATAAACAGACGTAGACTGACGGCACAGGGAAACAGTTACAAATGACGAGGATCTGACAAGGAACACAGACAACAGGTGGGGCTAAATACACACAGGGTAATCAGGGGGATACGACACACCTGGGGAGCAATCAACAGGGAGGACAGAGACTCACAGGGAACAGGACTACACAGGGAAAACAGGACTGAACACAGAAGAACTCAAAAATAAACACACAGAAACACAGATCATGACAAAAATCATTTCAAAGGCTAAATAGCCCCCTGGCCACATTTTGGACACCCCTGTCTTAATTGTTGACTCAGGGAGCTGAATACAAAAGCAAGCCACACTTTTCAGATTTTTATTAGTTTAAAAAATAGAGTAAACTTGACATAATTTTCTTTCCACTTCATAATTGTGGAATACTTTGGGTTGGTGTATCATAAAAACATCCAAATGTGGGAACAAATCAAGGATTATGTATAATTTAGGGAAACGAAACGCTTATTATGGTTTTATATAAAAGGATATAAAGAACGTGATCTCCACTGATTACAGTTATGACTGCAGTCTTTCACATGTGATGCTGCATGTGCCTGTTATGTATGTATTACAACCCAATGACTGCGCCAGGCCACCGCTGCAGCAGCACAACACGAAAGGGAGTGATTGTAACGACAGCAGCCAAAAACATGAATCGCTACAGTTCATTTGACATAAAATGAACAATAATGTGGATTATTTTACCGGTTTTAAGGGGGTTCTTTGCTGTGACTCCGTTGTCATTCCCACCGATCTGCTTTCATAACGCTGCACAACCTTGTGGGCGGAGCTAGTGAGGCACGTGAAAGGTACGTGACCGGGAAGCACACTCGCTTTGTGTCGTTCGCGGTCGAGCCGATTTAATATGCCGGTTCTTTTAGGTGGCCTATGGGAGCAGGTTCCTGTTTCAGATGAGGATGTATACAACAAAAATAATTAATTTCAGAGATTACTTTGATCAATATGTGTGCTAAGAATAATCACATAAGCTACAAAGAGGAGTTGTAAGTGAAGAGTTATTTTAAAGCCAAAAGAGGCGAATCTTTTTGCAGGGTTTACATAAATGATTCGGCGGGTAAACAGGAGAGCAGCTGAAGTAGAGAAGAAATATATTAAAATAAATTATAGGGATGCGTGGGAAGAAAAATAATACTCGATTTCATAAATAATAAAGAAAACGACCTAAAAGTAACACGGGACACGTTGAATAGTTTTCAATTAGCAAAGTTACCCTGGATACTTTATTGATTATAGCAATAAAACAGAAAACGATAGTCTATGTTTTCTATTGTTACGGAAAATATTTTGAAAGTGTAGCAAGACAACACCATGGTTGAAAATGTCATTTTCCATACATAATCCATGTTTCTTTACTGAACAGGACATTTTCCAGGCTTTTATCAAGAACTGTACCAGCTGGTATTAATTAGAACTAGCAGGACTGCCATCTAATTACTAATAGATTTCACCTGGTGCCTGTCTTTCTGCGTAGTTTCTTCTTCATGTGTCCAATACTTTTCCCCCATATCGTTATATCACACATACTTTAAGGATAATTAATTTGATTTTTCTGTATGGACTGGATGGCTTGTTACTGTGAGTATCTGTAGTTGCACCATTAGAAATGTGATTACATAGAATGGAAGGTTTGATATGTGCATGTAAATTTGCCGAACTGTGTGAGCGGGCTTGAAAGTGCAGAAGTATATTATTTATGATGTATAAAAAAGAGGCACCAATGCAAAAAATGAAGCTGAGGTTTGTAGTCATAGAATAATTTGGAAAAAGGATGACATTATATAACAAAGCTTGAATTTATGCCTTTTAGACCTCCAAGGATAATATTTGTACTCTTGTATTCCTTCATTGAAGGAACACTTCTTGTCTCCTTTGGCAACTTTCTGTCAACCAAATGGAGACACCTGGCTTAGAGGAAGGTAGAATAACACACCTTACATAAATAAATAAATTCATTAAATAAATAAACACCCAATTTTTCTTTTTCTTTCATTGTTCGTTAGGTTTCGGCTAGCGCAAGCTAGCTAGGTTTGTTAGCTGACCACGAACAAACCCCTTTCTGCCTTTGTGGCATTATATATATATATATATATATATATGTTTAACATTAACCACAGACATTTTTTTTATTTTCCAAGCTTTAACGTGGAGATGTTTGCAAGCTAGTTAACAGTTAGCCTGCGTCATTTGAAAGGCCCTCCGAAGTCAACGATAATAATGCCAACCTCCTATTTTTGTTCGAAACTAATTATCGCATTTTCAAATTTGAAATCGTAGTTCTTGTCTGTCAGCTCACATAAAACATAGGAAGTTGCGAGCAAAAATCACAAAAGGCTAATGTGAACTTTGTGTGATAAGTTGATATTCATCAGAAAAAGACTTTTAATTTAATATTTATTTAGTCTAAATCTCAAGTTATTTAATACTTTATATTTTTACCGTTAAACAACAACGGAGGACATTTATTTAAGTGAAACTTATAGTGTTAAATTAAGCCAAAATCCAACAAGCTAGTCTGCACCCTGAACCACATGAGGTCGCTGTATTACCAAGCACGTACAATGGCGGTAATTTCATAGTTCCAACATTTGGACAAATATTACTCTGCATTTTAAACTAAATAAAGCAAATAAAATTTTATTTGTATAGCACATTTCAGCAGAAAGGCATTTCAAAGCGCTTTACATCATAACAAACACAAAGAATCAACAATCAAAACATTACATTAAGTCAAGTGCAATCACTAAATTCGTAATTCATTACGTTTCAAACACAACTCTAAACAGGTGGGTTTTTAGTCGAGATTTAAAGGCACTCTGTGTTTCTGTTTTTTTACAGTTTAAGTGACATTTTTGGCTACACATGAGTAAAAGCAGAACAGTTGTGGATATACATAGCTCTGATCATTTGCTGCCTGTTTCTGGTGATGGACACAGTTGTCTCCTGCCAGCGGCAAGCAGCGCCTTGAATAACCACCTGTTGTCATGTCTTACCAGTCCTCTCTGGGACGAGACTGGAAAGACATTAAAAATTTGCTTTGTTATCCTCTCAGGCCGTAATTAGCCTGTCTTCACTCAGACAGAGCCTCCCAAGTTTTACACTGGGGTTGAAATGTTATTCCCTGAAGATAAAAGCGTGTCTATCGTTGACATTTACAGTAGAATAACATCAAGAGCTTTATCCCAAGGAGGCACACAGTGGAGTTAATTAGGCTTCCCAGACGCGGAGGAGCACCTGTTGCTGGCACTCAGTTCTGTCCTTTTCCAGAGATAACTCAAGACTTGGGAACACTAAATTGTTGAAGTTTATAGATGTCAGAATGAAAGTAATTATGGTTTAATCTTCTGTGTGCTGAATGGCTCCTTTAATTAAACCCCTAAGAGTGAAGCCCAAACTGTATCTTATTGTTCTTGCAGAAACATGCATCTTTATACAATGGATGGTGTCATCCAGCTGTCTGCTTATCCACCTCATTAGCTTTTGCTGCTCCAGAGAGGTTATGATCCTTCGTCAGATTGAGTTGAACCGTCTCTTTTCTCTGCTTTTTGGTCCAGCAGAGAGATCAAAGGTCAGATCAAGATCAACCATTGACTCAACCCAAGACTTTCGTTTTCTTCAATCTCAGCCAGTCATTGGTGGATTTATTGGTATGTTGTGGCTCATTGTCATGTTGCAGGATGCAGTTGTATTTTAATTAATTTAATTTTTTCACAGATGGTCTTACGTTTACACCCTGGGTGGTATGATGGCAAGCCGGAAAGTATTCTCAAACCATGATTCCTTCACTTCCATGCTTCACAGCTGGTATGACGTTAATTTTCTGAAATGTTATATTTGGTTAATGTCAACATTTTACCTGTATAAATGCACAAATAATGTACATTTAGACGTATCCCTTTAAAGAACAACATTCCAGAAGTCTTTGTCTATGTTCTCCATGGTTGTTAAGTTCTTAAAAAGCAAATGTTTACTTCTTATAAACCTCCTGTCAAAGTTAAACTGGTGCCTTCATATCAATAAGAACCTCCTGGAGGGTTTTGAAGTCTTGTTTTAGCATCTTGAGGGCTTCTTTCAGGTTGACAGTTGTTTTAAATCCCCTTCACAGATAATCGTTTGGACAGTTTACCTTTGTTAACCCTTTACCAAACTCATAGAAATCTACAATCGGCTCTTTTCAATCCCACTGTAACAAACTGAGTTTTCAACAAAGCAATCTCCTAATTTATTCCTCACCAGAATTTCAAAAGGTCTTGAATTTTTTCTTTCTTGCGTGATGTCAAATATTCATATGTCCAGATATTGTTGAAAAACTCTGCACTTGTTCAGCATGACTTGGGGATAAAACCTGATCAAAAATCAAATTTCAGCCGTGTTTTTCTAACTAAACCATGGTGAAAATGTAATTAAAGGGAAATGTTGACGTAAATTGCGAAGGGTTTAATTTCCCAATTATTAAAATCCTGTTAAGTGGGGGCTTACTTAAACCCTTGCAGCACACTCTGGCAAGGAGGCTTTAAGCACTGTTTGGATTAACACTGTGGCTTTTCACCTTAAGTGGAGGATTAGTGATTTTTCTAAGAGAATCGCTGCAAAAGTTTGTTTTGCTACTTTTCCTCTGCTCATCACCAGCTGCTTTTCTACGTCTTTCGGAGCATGCATGCTATTTGTGCTGGAATAATCTCAGCGCTGCTTTGTGGGAGATCTGAGAACACAAGTATGCATGCATCTGTTGTGTCTCTGAAATAGTCCCTCATTTTGTCCTTACAAAGGAATGAGGAGGCCCTTGGGGTCAGTGTAGGCAGCAGGAGGCTCTTCAGAGGATAAAGTAGGGGAGTGTTTATGACACGACTTGGTGGAGGAGAAAATAGAATCCTCCATCTGTCTCCAAATCAACCCTGTTGCTGACCTGAACCCTGGAGACTGTTGCCGTAGGGTCACGTGATGAAGGAATCCTTTAAAACCTCCAACCTGCAGACCTAGACCTCCAGTTACTTCCTGTGCTCACCACTGCAGCTGGTCTGTTCTGCTCAGAGGATCCAACATGTCAGACATTGAGGAGATTGTGGAGGAATATGAAGAGAAGGAAGAGGATGAGAACGAGCATGACAAAGGGTCCAAACCTCGGTTTAAGACTACCTACATACCAAACATGGCACCTCCAAAGCTCCCTGATGGAGAGAAGGTCGACTTTGATGATCTCCACCGGAAGAGAGTGGAGAAGGATTACAGCGACCTACAGATGCTCATTGAGCAGCATTTCTCCAGCCGCCAGAAGGAGGAGGAAGAGCTGATTGCCCTGCGCAGCCGCATCGAACAGCGCCGCGCCGACCGGGCCGAGCAGCAGCGAGTCCGAGCAGAACAGGAGCGAGAGCGGCAAGCTCGGGTGGTAGAGGAGAGGTCGAGGCGCGAAGAGGAGGCCGCCAAGCTGCGGGCCGAGGAGGAAGCCAAGAAGAAGAAGATATTCTCCAACAAGTCCTTCGGGGGTTACCTGCAGAAGGTAGACCAGAAGAAGGGCAAGAAGCTAACGGCTCGCGAGGAGAAGAAGAAAGTCCTGCTGGAGCGCAGGAAGCCGCTCAACATCGACCACCTGAGCCAGGAGAAGCTGATGGAGAAGGCGCAGGACCTGTGGCAGTGGCTCCACCAGCTGCACGCCGAGAAGTTTGAGCTGGCTGAGAAGCTGAAGATGCAAAAATATGAAATCCACGTTCTCCGGAACCGAGTCAGCGACCACCAGAGAGGCTCCAAAACGTCAAAGAGCTCCCGTGGGGCCAAAGGGAAAGCTGGCTCCTGGAAG